ACCTCAAAGTTTGATGCAAAAACGCATGATCGCACCGGCTCGCCTGGTGCGTTCCAGCCTGGGGTTTTTTTTTTGAATATTTTTATGGTTGAATTGGAGCTTAATCGCTGTTTCTCATATATGTGATTCTTGGGGAGCTTCATTTTGATGCAATGGCAATGGAAATTGCTTGAAAGGTAGCAAATGTCAATAGTAGTCGCCTGATATGAATGTCGCCTTTTTCCTTGTGTTGCTTGGAAGCAAGCTGATGGCTGGTTTGACTCCCCTGCACATTCAAATACCAATTTACCATCGGAAAAAATAAATCGCCGGGAGGGGGAGGGGGGTGGGGTTAGTTATCGAATCCGGGACCTTCAGTTACTTCAGGAATAGGTTGCTGAAGTCGTTTTTAATGGTTTTTGCTGGAATAGCCACGAAATTTTTGGGCTGGAAGTGTTATCTTGGTAAGTCAGGTATCATCGGGTAGCAGCAAGTTCGTGAAACTAAGAATTTGCAGTTCCATTTTTTAGGAATATCGCATTGATGCGTTGTGATGTTGCTGTTTTGCCCGGAATGTGGATCGACGCTGCAGATTGAGGAAGGCTCAAACTGCTTGCAGTTCTCATGTAATTGTTGCCCCTACACGCAGCCAATAACCAAACTTGTAAGTTTTTATGAACTTTCGGAGAGTTATATAAGCGCAGTGCTTAATGTAATACTTTTCAGAGAGCAATGCCTAATACGTCACTTTTATAGATGTATTTGAATGATGTTACAGTTTTAGATTTCTGCGATCCTTGAAATTTAGCCTGCACGCATAGATGGAAAATTCTTACAACTCTTAAAACTCTTAAAAAGACTCTTAAAATTCGTAATAGGAGTCACTCATTTTCGTGACAAATATTTGCTATTTATCAGTTACAAAGCACTAAATTTGATGGAATAGCTATGATCCAGCTGAACACGATAAACAGCGGGGAACTTCAGCTTCTTGGTTGGTTCGCCTCAGATTGTTACTTCACATCCCCTTCCCTCACCGTTCTTTTTCTTGCCAACTACTCCTCTCGCTCCTTATTGTACTGGACACTTCCTTTTTTTGCTGCCAAATGAACGAATCGTAAAGGGATTGTTTATTCCACTGACGAAGTCGAAACTTCGACTTATTACATAACAAAAGTGTTAGCCCACTCGCTATTCTTGCCGGCTTTTACTTTTCATGTCACAAAAAATGGGTTTATAATCGTTGTAAAATACGAAACGTATTTAGCTAAACTGCAACACATAATAGCTTTTTTATTATTAGATGTTTAGCCCATGATCTTTGCATGAGCAGTCATTGTATTTCAGATAAAAAGTCGCCTTTATCCGAAGTTAAAAGATTTGGACGAAGTACTAGGTGGCCCAAGCGCCTGGGAAAACGCACAGATTACTGACGGTCCGTTTTTTTGTTTTTTTGAAAAAAAGATTTCATTTGTTGTTTTTTTTTTCGGAAAACATGTTGTTTGACTTGTTGCAGAGCGTTGCCCGCGTTGCTCCGGCAATCGGGCCTATTTCATGCAATTGCAAACACGCAGTGCCGACGAGCCGA